CCAAAAAGGTAAAGTTTTTCCCAAAAAAAAAAAAAAAAGCTAAAGAGGATAGAGAGAAACTCTGTTAACTGATGGTATGTGGAGGGGATTATAAGCAATGTAATGAAACAAGGTATATGAATGTTTGAACGTGAAACCAATGATGTGCCCTGAAAACTTTCACTCAATCCACAATAAAAACCTTTAAAAAAAAAAAAAAAAAAGATTAAGATGGGACTAAGGAGTAAGAATTAAGGTGAAAATAAGAATTTAAGTAGAACTAAGGATTACGGATGCCTCCATCTCACTAGGTGTGGCTCAAGTCACCACCCTTACTTTTCTTTGTGGTTATGGTCTGAGTCTAATATATAGGAATGCTTTGGCCAAGTTCTCTCTATTGCTCTGTATCTAGCTCAGCTCCATATGACCTCCAAGTTGTGGGATTTGTAGCTTATCACCTGATTCACCAGCTCCCGAAGCCTTGAGCATCAACAGTCTGTCAGACCTGCCAATTCCAGTTCCTCAGTCCCTGATACTACATGAGTAAGGAGACTCCTCCAGATGGCTATCTTGAGTATGGATTTGGGACTTGTCAACTTCCACATTCTGAGAGCCACTTCCTTGACAGTCATGAGTTCTGTGAAATGTTGCAGAATATTTCAAATCTCTGGGAAGTGAGGAAAGGAGGAGTGGTAACTGATATCAGGGATTATGGGGTGTTATTACATCAGGAAGGACCTATGGTAGTATAGTGGGTTATGAGTCAGGCTGCTAACTGCAAGGTCAGCTGTTCAAAACTATCAGCCACTCCACAAGAGAAAGATAAGGCTTTCTGATCCCATAAAGATTTATAGCTTCGGAAACCCTATGCAGAGTCATTCTGAGTCAGAAGTGACTCCACGACATACCACCACCATAAAATATTGGGAAAGTCAAACATCTGAGATATCTTTAACTTCCACCTCGTAGGGACTAACCTCGTGCTGATCCTTCTAAAAGCAATTATTCTTGCAAGAATCCAATATAAAACAGTGGTAAAGAAAAAGAGATGCATCACATGGAAAAAAAAAAAACACAATTTTTTAAAAAATTAAAAACAAATAATTTATTATGGCAAAAGAGTATTTTGCAAAATAAGAAAAATCTTTGATGAAGTGCTCCCAGGAGCTTCAGGGATACAGAGTTTAATAAAGATAAAAACTACAATTGAAGGTGGATACATTTGATTGAATAATATTTACAAAGTTACAGGTGCTAGGCTCTCTGCAGGATTGGTTTTGTCAGAGTGGCTCTGGGTGACAACATATTGCTGTGATTTTCCTGGAATATTTTAGAAGGTAGATATAGAATATAGATAAAGTGGGGCTTAGAGGTATTTTCTGAAAATCAGCCAACCACCAAAGTCACGTACTTCCTAACACATTAGATTATCTTGACCAAATGAGCAATAATGGAGTTAAGGATGCATTTATACTGGTGGGTTCTGTTAATATATAAAAGAGTTTGTTGAAAGAAATTAAATAATCAACAATGAAAATACTAAGTATGCTTAATGTGGAAAAAAGAGCTTAAATACAGAAAGACTATACGTATGTTTCTATTTCATATAAGTTTATTCTAACTCTGAGTACATCCCTTTGGAGCTTAACCACAACTTGCTTTGCGGTTAACATCTATATAAACAAACAGAACTGCTTTTTTAATTAATTTTTTTTATAGAACTGGTTGTGTCAAAGTCACGCACACTGGAAATTTTACAGAAGTAGCAGACTGATTTTATAACTGAAAAGCATACAATGAAGTCACTTTTATCAACCTTACACCTTAGCCAGAGGTCTTCAGTCACATCAAGGACTTAGTTTTAAAATGCTCTTCCTCAGATGAAAAAACATTAAAGAAGGAGTAAAAAACTGGGAGATAATGAAAAGATCTAATATAAGTCTGATTAAAATTCCAACCCACCACACTCCCCCAAAAAGAAAGTTAAGTGAATGAAGGAGAGACAATGTTGTAGTTAGGTGCCATGGAGTCGTTTTCAACTCATAGTGTCCCCATATTACAGAATAGAAGTGCCTCAGAGGGCTTTCTTGGCTGATACCTTAAAGAAGCAGATCACCAGGCCTTTTCTCTGGTGGAGTCACTGGCTGGGTTTAAAACTCCAATTTTTTTGCATAGCAACCAAATGCTCCACCATTTATGTTACCCACCCAAGCCCACTTCCATCAACTCTATTCTTACTCAAAGCAACTCTGTAGAACAGAGTACAACTGCTTCTTCCGGCTTCTGAAACTATAAATCTTTACAGGCACCTAAACCAAAAACAAACCTGAAGAAAAAAATAAATCATGAAAGAAATTTCATAAAGAAAAACCAATTACCTACAAAGAAATGACAGCGCATTGCTTAACAACAATAATAAAAGAATAAAGACAGTGAAATCAGATCTGCAAAGTGTCAAGAAAAGGTAATAGTCAAGTATTAGATTATCCAGCAAGATATAAATATATCTCTTGCTAGTGTTCATCTGCTCTAGCATGAGGCCAAAATTTGGCAACATACATTAGTGATGGTTGCACAACATGATCGATCGATGTCACTGGTGTTGCTGAACAGTATACATGCAAATGTTAAACAGCAATTATGACTTATGTATATTTTTACAACAATAGGAAATAGGGCAAAATAAAAATATTTACATATAAACAAAAATGGTTTTTCAACTACCAAGAGACCTACTCTAATGAAACTAAAGACTATAAAACAAAAAGAGGTGATCCTACCCAGAAGAATGGTCCCATATACAAGAATCTAGGGGCAACAAAGAAAGAGGTAAATATGTAGGTTGTCAAGAGGAACACTTTTTATGCAAAATAGCAGGATCAAGTTAGATATACAGTTAAGGAAAAAAAAAAAAAAAAACAAAACCACAGGTAAAACAAAACAGGACAGTGCTAGTAAGAAATTTGATAAGTATATAATCAGTAAGATGTCTTAAAATCTTTAATGTTTGAGAGGGGCAGGAGAGTAGCCCTGAAAGAATTGATATAGAGTACAATTTTCAAACTGATAAAGATTAAAAAGAGAAAAGAAGCAATTGCAAAATTCAACAATCCTCAAAAAGGCAAGAAAGGCAAAAAAAAAAACAGAAAAAGTGAAGCACAAGGGATAAAAATAGTAAAAATAAGTAATCCAAATATTTTACAAGAGTTAATGCAGCAGGTCTGCTTTACTCAGTCTCTGGAGTCCTGGGAATAACCCTAGATCAAATGCTGAGAACTAAAACCCTGGAATGCTCACATAGTTATTGGTTAGTGATATTATTCTCGATGCCTAAGACAAGTTAAAATGAACCAAGTTGTCTGCATGTTCAAAGTCAACCTAAAGATGTCTCATGGGCACCTGGTACATATGTACCTGACATCTGGTTTGAGATGCAAACTCTATCACATAACAAATACATGCCTATGTGGGCAGCTGCCTTTAAGAACTTTGGACTCCAAAACTCAAATGAATTTCTCTTGGAAGGGACATTTCATACATATTTCTGCTGTTTGCAGCAGAAGAAAGAAGGAGTCTATGACAGTATCACAGAAAGAAGATTTGGAAGCCTTTGCTTTACTTCTCTTGCCTTTACCTATGGATACATATTTCTGCAGCTCCTGTACTATATCCTATGCTATAATAAATCTTAGATATGAATACAGTTTTATGTTGAGTAATGTGAGTCCTTCCAGTGAACCATCAAACTAATCGTGATCATGAAATCCCCAAGACATGTATTAATAATTCATGACTATAAATGGACTAAAATCACCAACTAAAGGATAAAGATTTTCCTATGACAATGGAAATAGGTTATATATTCTTTACAAGATACAACCTGTAAAAATTACATGGTTTAGGTATCTGACCTCCCCTAACTTCCCAAGAGGGAGAGAGAATATCACTATCAGCATCAGCTCAAGGTTTATTCTCATGAAGTACAAGTCAAACTATCTCCTCTCTCCAACCTTTTCCCAATTCTGATACAAGGGTTCAATAATTCATTGCATTGGCCCCACAAAACTCACAATGTTCACAATAATGGATATTATTAGAGAAGTTGTTGTTGTTACAGAAGTAACTGGATACAATTCAGGATCGAGAACAACCTAGGATTCAGTTTTTGAGTGACAACAGCTTCTAGACCATTCCCACAAGCAAGTCTCTCTCTGGTCCTTGGCCTCTTGAAGCTCTTGGGTCAGCCCAGCCTTTATCCTGTGTTACAAGTATTACAAAGTTCTTTAGATCCGCTGACAAGTGCAAGTCCACTGCATCATTTCCTGCAGGTATTCTGGTTCTCTTTTTTGGTGTTCATCCCACATCTCAACATCTTGCACCATCTCTGGTGTTATGCCTCTGCCTCCTGGGTCTCAGCACAGGAACCCTGAGTCCAAATAACATGATCTACTCCCATTTCTTTTTCTTGTTAACAGTAAGGTCCTACCTTTTCACCTCTGGGGTGACTCATTTTAAGCCTAGTGTGCTGGTAAAATTGACCAATTCCCTCATTAGGTTCTATATACTTTATTTGCATAGCTCTACCCCTATGGGATGCCATGAAGTTTATATACACTATTAGCAAGTGATCCAGGTCTCAGGGTAGGCCACAAGTACCTCATTTGCATCATCCCATCTAATCATTTGGTGGGAGTTACAAGACTATGTTGAAGAAACACCATGTAAAAGCAATTCATCACACCACATTCACATACACCCCAGCCCTTACCTGTTTGTCCCTGGAGGTATGTGAGTTTGTGCCATGTTATCCAGAGTCACTTTGAGTTATAACAAAAAACAGACTGAATTGGGTTTTTTATACATAAAATGTTAAATTGATGTGACCAGAGCTGCCTAATGATTGTTTTCCACTTCTTCAAGGCACTTCTTTTCAACCTCAACTCTTGAGTAAACCAGAGCTGAAAGTCTGGGGAATTGAGGCCGTTGCCCCATCTGTGTCCTGGACACAGATGGGGCAAGAGTTACAGGATGTCTTCATAGTTGCTGTAAGAGAATAGAAAGATCATTGAGGAAAATGTAGATAGGAAATGAGGGGGAGAGGGACCGGGTGAGAAGGTGAAAAGAAGAAACTCACCGATGCTTCCTATACCACAAGATGAAGCCTATAATGAGCAGAAGGAGGGACGCCAGTACTGCAAAGAGAATCCAGCCCACAGAGACATGGCTCCCATCTGCCATGGAGAAGAAAGAATGTCTATCACCATTTTGTTGTTGTTGTCAGGTGCCATGGAGTCGGTGCCGACTCATAGCAACTTTATGCACAGCAGAACAAAACACTGCCCGATCCTGCACCAACCTATTGTTGCCACACTTGAGCCCAATGATGCTGCCACTTGGCCAGTCCATCTCGTTGGGGGTCTTACTCTTTTTCTCTGACCCTCCAATTGACCAAACATGATATCCTTCTCTAGAGACTGGTCCCTCCTGACAATACGTCCAAAGTATGAGAGATGAAGTTTGGCCATACTGGCCTCCAAGGAGCACTCTGGCTGCACTTCTTCCAACACAGATCTATTGGTTCTTTTGGCAGCCCATGGCACTTTCAATATTCTCCTCCAACACCACAATTCAAAAGCATTTCTTCTACAGTCTTCCTTATTTACTGTCCAGCTTTCACATGCATATGAGGTTATTGACAATACCATGGCTTGGGTCAGGTGCACCTTAGTCCCCAAGCTGACATCTTTCCTCTTCAACACTTTAAAAAGGTCTTGTGCAGCAGATTTGCCTAATGCAATATGTCATTTGATTTCTTGATACTGCTTCTGTGAGTATTGATAGTTGATCCAATAAGAATGAAGTCCTTGACAACTTCAATCTTTTCTCCATTGATAAGAATGTTGTTTATTGGTCCAGTGGTGAGGGTTTTTGTTTTCATTACATTGAGATGCAATCCATACTGAAGGCTGTGCTCTTTGATCTCCATCAGTAACTATTTTAAGTCCTCGTCACTTTCAGCAAGCAAGGTTATATCATAAAGCCCCTCTATTTCAACATTACTTGTCTGGGTACTTGTGAGGGGACCAGGAGGTTCTTCTTCGTCCCGTCCCCATTTAAACCACTTACTGATATTTCTCCTAAACTCAAATTCCCCATCTTTCCTGAGGGTTTCAGCATCACTAATTCAGTTGACAGGAACATGGTAGCTCCATAAAATAAGCACTGGACTTAGAACCAGAGGTCCACAGTACAGGTCCTCCAGCCACTCCATGGGAGAATTATGAAGCTTTCTGTTTCTGCAAAGATTTTAAAAGCCTATACAGGGGCACGTGACAACAATTCAGTTCATTTCAGTATCTGTTAACACACAAAAGAGGGAGGCAGACCTGAGTCTAAATCCAGCCCTTCCACTTACTACTTCAGGCAGTTTTCTTATCTGGCCTTATAGCCTCATTTTCCTCAAAAGAGAGTTGTGATGATTCAATGAAATAATACATACAGATAATACAGTTCATAAAGCTTAGGTTTTACTTGTATGATCCTGTTTTCATGAGTAGCATCTGGCATCTTAAAAGCTTGCGAGCAGTCATCTGAGATATAACTACTGGTCTCTGCTTGTTGGGAGCAGAAGAAAAAAAAGGAAACCAAGGACTCAAAGAAGAAACTAGTCATTAGGACTAATAGTCTACACAAAGCACAGCCCCACATACCCTGATCCCAGCTACCACTATCAACCATTCTGAACAAGGACACTATAGATTAAATTATTTAGAAAACATTTTTTTTTTTTAAAGTCCAGACTTACAGGATCAGTTGAACCCCTGAGATTACTGTCCTAACATAGCATTTAAACTTTGAATTGAACCCACTCTCAGAGCTCAGCTTTCAGCTAAATAAGAGATTGGCTTATGAAATAAACATTATCATCCATGAGTACTGCTAATGTGTGCTATCAAGTTTCAGCTCACAGTGACCCTGTATAAGGTTTCTGAGGTTATAAATCTTTACAGGAGCAGAAAGCCTAAAAAGTCATCCATATGAGACCACATGGCCAACCATTACCCTAAATCAAAGCAGGGGGCAGGAAAACTACTAGATTAGTGGAAACAGAATCACTAGAATAGAAAAAAATGTTTGACACATTATAGGAAATGTAACCAATGTCACTGAACAATATGTATTAAAAAACAAACCAAATCCATTATACTCCAGTTGAGAAGAAATGCCCCATATGTTTTCCAAGCTATAATTCTTTACAGAAGCAAACTGTCATAACTGTTTCACCCAGAGCAGCAGGCAGATTCAAACCACTGACCTGTTGGTTGGCAGCCAAGCATTTAACCTTACACCACCTCCTCTTAAGAATATGTGTAGAAATTGTTAAGAGACGCTGTGTAAACTTTCATCAAAAATATAATAAAAGATTATAAATATATGCATATATAATACCAACGAGATGGATCAGCCAGGTGGCATCATTGATGGCGTCAAGTGTGATAGCAGTAGTGAGGTTGGCCCAATATCGGACATTGTTTCATTCTGCTGTGCATGGGGTCGCTATGAGTCGGTTCCGACTCGATGGCACCTGACAACAACAAGATAACGTATGCAGAGTGCTCTGCCCATGCGCAGAAAGCACTAAATAATCCATGGCCTGAAGTCCTTGGCCTGGTGCTCAGCTGCTAACCTTAAGGTTGGAAGTTTGAGTTTACCCAGAGGTAACTGTTTTTCATTTTGGTATCTTTGTTAACCTCTCTTTCTAAAGCCCTTGGTCCCCTTCTGTTATGAACTGTGTTGTATCCCCCAAAATACGAGGTGCAAGAATTCAAAATATGAGGTGCTAAACTCCTGGTGTGGCCCTGGTATGGCACTGTAGGATAAGCACTGGCCTGCAAGGTCCTTTGAACCACAGTCATTGGTTCAAACTCACCAATTGCTCCTCAGAAACCCTTTGAGTTAGAACTGATTCAAAGGCACTTAACAACTTAATAATATACCTGTGAATTTACTCTGAGTTGGAAACAGGGGTGCTTGTTATGCTAATGAATATATAATCTGTCCTTATATAATCCATATATAATCTGTCCTTAACCTAATTACTTCTGAATTATAAGGAGCAGCTCAGACCCACTGACAAGGAACCACAAACAAACAGGGATGATGGATGACACATGACAATCACCAAAGAACCCAATAACACTGAGGCCACTGAGGTTGAGACAAGTTATCTCCTCCCAGAGCCTGAATTCAAACAACTATCCTACTAAACTGGGAGAAAATACATTTCTGTTCTTTAAAGTCACCTATTTGTGATATTTATGTTACAGCAGTTCTAACAAGGAGTCCTGGTGTGGCACTGCGTGTTAATGTGCTGGATTGCAAGTTCAGCTTGAAACAAAAGGTCAGAAATTCAAGCTCACCAGATGCTCCTTAGAAACCCTATATAGGCTCTTTATGAGTAGAACCTGACTTGAGGGCACTTAACAACAACAATAAAAGCGCTAGGGAAATAAGGTACCTGCCTCCAAGGGGCTGAAATCCTGCTGGGATTCATTTGTTCCCTACTTCTGGGCTTCTGAGTCTTTAATTCCTATGTTTTCCTATATGATAAAAACCTCATATCTCAATTTTTTTTAAGCTTCAGGTCCTCATTCCCCTTCTGTATGTGAAATTCCTTTTTTCTCTGTATGTGAAATTCCTGTTTTGATGTCCTCATCTCCAAAGCTCCTCTATCTCAGGTCTGTCAAACTCCACCCCTAGAAAGCCCGACCCCTTCTCAAACTCTTCCCCTACACCAAGGTTCACGTTCTCCCATTTCTAGCTAGGTTCAAGTTGTTTCTCACCCCAGTGGAGGACAATGTCCTGGCCACCTAGACTGCTGTGCTTCACTCGGCAGGACAGGTCAGCAGCCTCCCCAGTCACCACATCCACGGTTACTCGGAGATACCAGGTCTTATCAGCATTGGGCAGAACATCCCCTTGCAGTGTGCTGGGCTCCTCCTGCTCCCCCCGCATCCACATCACCCACACGGGCTTTGGGTAGAATCCCGAGACATGACACACCAGCAGCAGACGGCCAGGACCAGGAGTGGGGCCACTGGACAACCAGGCTTCAGGCTTCTCTGCATCCAAAAAATAGAATGGGAAGATCTTAAAGTGGGGACTCCACTCTTATCATTAGAGGCTCTAAGCCTCATATTAAACTCATGCCTCCCACAGCTCCACTTCTGGAGATGAAGCCTCTCAGAACTTCAATCCATCTGTGTTAACGTCTCTGGGAAAATCTTCTTTCCTTGATCCCAACTTGGGAAAATATGTGGAAACTGGTTACAGCTATTATTTAAGTTTTAAAAACAGGCTATAAATTGTATCCATGGCACAACCTGATATGAAATCTCAGCATCAAATAAAAGTCCTTCCTCTCTACTGTTATTTGCTGTTGTTGTTAGGTGTGGTCGAGTAGGTACCACCAAGTAGGTACCGACTCATAGCCACCCTGTGCATAACAGAATGAAACACTGCCCGGTCGAGCGCCATCCTCACTATTGTTATGCTTGAGCCCACTGCTGCTGCCACTGTGCCTATCCATCTCATTGGAGAGCTTCCTCTTTATCTCTGACCCTCCACTTTACCAAGCATGATGTCCTATAACATGTTCAGCAGTAATGTCCATAGCATGTTTAAGGCATTGATTTAATTCTTCATTTGTCTTCTCATATTTCCCCTGGAGTACAGATCCCACCCACTTTACTCGTATCAGATCCCAAAACCAAGAACTAAACTCCCTGCTATTGAGTTGACTTTGATTTATAGTGACCCAATCTATAGAGGGTTTTCAAGACTATAAATCTTTACTACAGAAGCCTTCTTTTTTTCACATAGAGCACATGATAGGTTTGAACTGCCAACCTTGTATTTAGCAGTCCAGTGCTTATCAATAGCACCAGAGAGAATTAGATTCATGGAACCTCATAAGTGCTCAGGAGTCCTAGTGTGGCACTGTAAGATAAGCACTGCACCACTAACTGCAAGATTAGCAGTTCAAACCCACCAGCTGCTCCTTGGAATTCATATACAGGGTCACTATGTGTCAGAACCAACTCCACAGCACTAAACAACAGTAGGTGCCCAAGGAGCCCTGATGATTGAGCACTCAGCTGCTAATCATAGGTCAGTGGTTCGAACCCACCAGATGCTCCTCAGGAGAAAGATGTGGCAATTTAATAGTGTAAAGATTTACAGCCTTGGAAATCCTATGGGCAGATGTACTCTGTCTTTGATGACCAATAGGAGTTGGAATTGTCTCTGTGGCAATGGTTTAGTTTAGTAAGTGATCAAGTAATGTCTCCAGAATGAGTGTGTACCCTCACTCCTTATACATCCCTTCTTGGGGCAGTCTCTTCTTCAGATGCTTAAAGGGATGAGAACATTGGAATGAAAAACCCCAAAGGCAGGCTAACCTTGCTTCTCCAGATCTGATTTTCCTGCCTCTAAGAGGTCATTGACAAATTGGGGGCAAGTGTCAGTGAGAAGCTGTTGTATCGTATCCTTGGTCCCTTGGTCCTGGTTAAGCACTTTGCTGATCTTCTGAACCCAAGATGGGGCTTCTGGAGCTGGATGCCAAGAATTTCCTTTGAAATTCAGGATTTCTAATCCTTGGTATGCTACTTGGAAGAAGGTTTCTAGGCCACTCCAGGGGTATACTTCACAGCCAGCAGACACCTGGAACTCCATGGGATCTGAGCAAAGGTATGGACAGAGATCAAAGAAAGTGAAAGACTGGAAGGGATCAAGGGGGTGAGATTAGTATGAGGGGCTCTATTGTTATAATGGGTATCCAGAAAGAAAAAATAAAGTTAGACAAATCTTTTCTGGCTCATGGTCTTTCATGAGGCAGGAGAACTCTTTCAGAGTTCAGGAAAATGAGTGGGTGAGTTGGGACCGGCAGGAACGTGGACTGTTTTGTATCTGCTCAAGGCAAAAGTGGAAATCAGAAGAGGGTAGAGAAATAAGGGAACCAAATCTAGAGGAACCACTGTCTCCTAAGTGGAATTCTACTATCTTCCCTGCCCCCCCATTCTCCCACCCACCCCAGGTACCTGCCCAGGATCCCATCCCTCAGCTCACAGGGTTTTTGCAGCATTTTTCTTAATTCCTCTATGTCGCTTTTGAAACTGATCCGATAAACCTGAAACACATGCAGCAGCTTCTCCCACTGCTGCGCGCTGAAGTTACCGTAGGACCAGGGCAACAGGAAGTGAACGGAGTCCGAATCATTGTCCCAGCTGTGGGTCTGCAGTTCCCCTAGCCAGACTGAGCAGTCCGTACGCATCCAGCTACTATTGATGAAGGACGAGACCTGGAGTACACGGAGAGTGACATTCTCGCGCGGGACCGAATGATGATTTACCGCAACAGCGTAGTGAGTGGCTGGGAGAGTAGAAAGCATAAGGAGGACAAACAAAAAACCCTGAGCTGGGAGGTCCGCTAGCTCTGACCCGCCGCTCCCGGAGAGCAGACCCGGGACAGCCGCGGGGACCGCAGATTCCCAGGCTGGCCACTCGGCTCAAGTTCGAACTCGCGAGGGTCCGAGAAACGCCCACTCTCACCCGTAGCCCAGCCATTCTCCCTCTCGCTGCCTCCAGGAATTCGGACCCTTGGCACCCTCGTTCCACTCACCCTCAGAACTTCCCCAAACCTGTGGGAACCCCCAGAGCAGCAGAAGCGGCAGGATTCGCATAACGCTGGGCTTGGGTGGTTCACCCACCAGCACTGAAATCCGTCCCCTTTCTCCGCCCCCTCCGACTAGGAATTGACCCCAGAGCAGGCGCACCCGGACGGGGTTTCTGCTCTGACCTATGAGCTGCTAACTTTGAAACCTGGGTTCGTCCGGTTCGCTGACTCCACGCTTTCAGATCCCTTCGTCTTCTTTTATTTTTCGAAGGGGTCTACTTTGCCATTAGGGAAATGAACTGCAAAGAACTGTGGTTGGAGTCCAAAACTCAGTCACAGCATTATTTTCACAATCAACTTGCCTAAATCTGTTCAGTGAAAATGTATTTACAACTGTTGTTCAAGTTTTCAAAGCATGGCCTATAATTGTATCTATAGTACAATTCTAACCATGTTTAAAACGCAAAGAAAAAAAATTGAAAAAGGAGGAACGCCGGTGGATTAGCAGTGGATGCTTTCCAGATGGAGAGATTATGATTTTTTCTTTTCTCTACCTTTTTCACTTTTTCCCAGAATGTTTACCAATATCATATTTCTTATAAAATGAAGACATTAACATTAATTTTCTTCGAGTGGTTAAGATTCTTTACAACTTTAATATCCCAGGTTCTCCCATCTCCTTACTCAATGTCATCCAGAGCCTTTCTTGCTCTCAGTGTCTCTGCCCTCCTAAGGCTCCCTCCCGCAGAGCACCGTCTACTTCTCTTCTCTGTTTCCCCCACCTCCTTTCTGAATATCCTTAATCTCTCCCCTTCCTCCTCTCACCCCACTTGCCTGGCCTCCCTGCCTGCTCATGCAATCCCCAAATGGGTACCTGTTTTCTAGAAGCATAATAGGTTCACCCTGCAAGTGTAAGTCTCTGTTTTCTAGAACCATGATAGAATGACATTCTACCTGGACAGCCAGCTCCCCACTTCTCACACCAAAGAATAATAAGACATGATGGTTCAGAACCTGGGTAACACCTGGCACTTCTCTCTCCCTCCTGTATTCAGTCCAACACCAAACAAAACACCAAAACCATTGCTCACTGATAGATTCCAACTCCAGATGATTTTGTGCATTACAGAGTAGAAGGATTCCACTGGGATATCTTGACTGTAATCTTCACAGAAATAAGTCACCAGACTTTTCTTCTGTGGCACTGCTGAATGGGTTCGAACTGCCAACCTTTAGTAGTCAAGCACAACCATTTGCACCACCCAGGGACCTAATCCATCATCACCTCTTTGTTATTTTACTTCTTTTTAATAATCTTTTGTATGCCCTGTCTCTGCATTTCCACCTCTACCATAATCTGAATCTTTTTCCTGTGTAGAGACAAAAGCTGAACCTCCAAAATGGTCACACTAATGTCGCTTTGCGGTCCTGGTGTGGCGCTCTACAATAAGCACTCAACCTCAAGGTCATTTTGAGCCACAAGGTCAGAAGTTCAAAATCACCAGCCACTTTGCAGAAACCCTATACAGGGTCTCTATGAGTCTGAACCAACTCGACATCACTTAACAAGAAACAACAGCAAAAATAAACTAGTATCTCTCAAGTTAGTTCCTGCTTTTTTTTGTGGGGGCGGCATTCAGGCTCTTGGCAACCACATATGCAGAAGGAGTCTCTCTTCTAGGTTTAAATCCCAACAGCCTGGTATCCTGAACTACCTTTTTCAGGCTAGAAACCAAAATCATTGGTAGGGCCTACAACACTATGTTGTATCATCTGCATATCGCAGGTTGTTAATGAGTCTTCCTCCAATTCTGATGCCATGTTCTTCATATAATCCACCTTCTCAAATTATTTGCTCAGCATACAGATTGAAAAAAATATGGTGAAAGAATACAACAACCCTGGTGTACACCTTTCCTAATCTTAAATTATTCAGTGTCCCCTTGTTCTGTTCCACCTGCCTCTTGGTCTTTGTACAGGTTCTTTATTAGTACAATAAGTATTCTGGAACACTCATTCTCCTCAATAATGTCCATAGCTTTTCATGACCTACACAACTGAAGAATTTTTCATAGTCAATAAAGCACAGATGAACATCTTTCTGGTATTCTATGCTTTCAGCCAAGATCCATCTGACATCAGCAATGATATACCTTATTCCATATCCTCCTCTGAATCTGGCTTGAGCCTCTGGCAGTTCCTTATCAGTGTATTGCTGCAGCCATTTAAAAATTATTTTTAGCAGAATTTTTAAATTACATGTAATATTAATATTGTCTGATAATTTCCACATTCCTTTGAGTCACCCCTTTGAAATGAACAAAAATATGAGTCTCTTCCAATCAGTTGGCTAGGTAATTGTCTTTCAAATTTCTTGGCATAGATAAGTGAGTGCCTCCAGTGCAGCCTCAGTTTTTTGAAAGATTTCAATTTATATTCCATCAGTTCCTGGTGCCTTATTCTTTGCCAATGCCTTCAATGCTCCTTTATACTTCTTCCTTCGGTATCATTGGCTCTTGATCATATTCTACCTCTTGAAATGGTTGAACAGTGAGCATTTCTTTTTGGTACAATGACTCTGTGTATTCTTTCCATCTCCTTTTGATGCTTTCTGGATTATTCAATATTTTACCCATAGAATCCTAGAATGTTTCAAATCGAGGCTTGCATTTTTTCTTTGGTTCTCTCAACTTGAGAAATGCTGAGTGTGTTCTTCCCTTTTGTTTTTCTAACTCCAAGTCTTTGCACATTTTATTATAATATTTGACTTTGTCTTCTCGTGCTGCACTTGGAAATTTTCTGGTCAGCTCTTTTATGTCTTCATTTTTTCTATTTGCTTTAGTATCTCTGTGCTGCAGAGTATGTTTCAAAGTCTCTTCTAATATCCTTCAGTATGGGGTACACCTCAATGTAGAGAAAATAAAAATCCTCACCTTTGAACCAATAAATAACATCAAGATACATGGAGAAAAGATTGAAGTTGTCAACAACTTCATTTTATTTAGATCAATGATCAGCACTCATACAAGCAATTATCAAGAAATCAAACGATATATTGCACTAGGCTAATCAGCTGCACAGGACCTCTTTGAAGTGTTCAAGAGCAAAGATGTCAGTTTCAGGACTAAGGTATACCTGACTCAAGCCATGGTATTTTCAATAGTCTCATACGCATTTGAAAGTTGGCAATGAATAAGGAAGGCCATAGAAGAACTGATGTATCTGAGTTATGGTGTTGGAAGAGAATATTAAAAGTACCATGGACTTCTAAAAGACCAAGCAAATCTGTGTTAATAGAAGTATGGCCAGATTGCTCTTTAGAAGACAGGATGGCCAGACTTCCTCTCTTGTGCTTTAGACATATTACCAGAAGGGGCCTGTCTCTGGAGAAGGACATCATAATTGATAAAATGGAGGGTGAGCAAAAAATAAGACCCCCCCCCTCCCCAATGAGATGGATTGGCACAGTAGCAACAGAAATGGGCTCAAGCATCACAAAAATTGTGAGGTTTGCTCAGGGCCAATCAGTGTTTCATTCTGCTATACATAGGGTTGCTGTGAGTTGGTACCAACTCAACGGCATCTATAACAACAACACCATACACAAGTTGATTTCACTCTGCCTTCTAACCTCAAGGAGCTCTGGTAGCGTAGTGGTTACAAATCCGGCTGCCAACCTTAAGGTCAGCAGTTTGAAACTATCAGCTGTTCCATGGGAGAAAGATGAGGCTTTCTGTTCCCGTAAAGACTTACAGCCTCACAAGCCCTATACAGGGTCACTATGAGTTGGAACCAACTCCACGGCAAATAACAACAACAACCTTCTAACCTCATCTCTCACCCTACTCTCATTTGCTCTGCACCTTAGCCTAGCTGATCTGTTTTCAGTTCCTGTAATACAAAGAGCTTCTTCCTGTCCAGGTTCTTTGCACGAACAGTTGTTTGGATAGTGTTTTCCTTCCTCCACCCCTTCCCCATCCCTAATGATTCCAAATCAGCTCTTAACTCAAATGCCAAGAAGCTTTCCTGTGAACAAAGGCAGAAGATGTAAATCAATCCCACATCCATCCTTTTGTTCATTAACTAGTTTTGAAAGTCTTTCCTCCCAGCATATTATCAGATCTTGCAATTATAGAATTTGTCTATCTCCCTGTGCCCTCTGATTAATCAAATGGAAAGCTACTAGAATATCTGTGAGTATGTTTCCTTACTTTGGTTCTTACTATTCTATCAACATTAACTCCTCATCCTGCACCCTTGGGTTGTGGTAAGAGCACTGGAGAGACTAGGTTTCTGCCACTTAGTCTTGGCTGGAATCTTAGAAATGTCCTTTATCCATCCTATCTTATGTGGTATAGTGAATTATCTAATGTCTCTTCTAACCATAGTCTGTAACTCCAACCAAAACATTTCTGCCCTGCTGAATCTGAGTAAGAGAAGGTGGGAGAAGGTACTGATAGACTAATATAATTCATCTGTGGATGTTAGCAGAGTTCATTGTAATAGTAAGAACTTGAACCTTTAACATGGGTATAAAATAAAAATGAACCATATCGAAAGCAGGATGAGTGATCTCAAAGAACAGCCAGGAGGTGGGTGTGTCCTTTGGCTTCTGAGATCCCTGCCCATTGAATCTCCTCAACCCAGGAAGAGAAAACTGTTCCAGAGGAGCAGCAGCAGCAGCAGCAAAACTAAGAATGAAGCATAAGACAGAACAGTGGACTTCCCAGCCCACGGAGCAAGTCAAGATGAGTAGCTTTGGAAAGGAAGATTGTTTATAGAGTTGGGTGTCTACAGACACTTAAACGACAGAGCTAGGTTTGCTGACCTGAGGAGCTAGAGCCTTCAGGTGGAGGCTTTTGGCAGAGGGGTGTATTTTATGGGCATTTGTCAGCAGCTGACTGGAAGAACTGTGTCCTAAGCATTTCTGTCTCTGCACTGTAACCTATTAAGTTCACACACACACACACACACACACACACACACACACACACAAAAGAAAAAAACCCACAGTGTTAGTATGGTGTCTGAATTCTGTGTGGTCACCACAATGGATTATCAAACCCA